ATACTGAGAGCTTTTTTTTACATTCGTTTATTTAATGTGTAAAAGAACTCTTAAAAAAAAAAAAAAAAAATCCCTTATGGGTTATCCGTGCCACCAGAGATGCTCACTGGATTGTGCCGAGGCAAGTATGGCCATCTAAATCTCCAAAGGTCCCAGTCCTGCATTTCTAGTACTTGTAGTTTTGAATAAGCACGACTTGTAGAACCAACCTCTTCTCACCTCAAAATATCAACATTTTCTTCCTCAAAAAGAAACAATCTGCACATAGACTAAAAAGCCCGGAGCAATCGACTAACTTTGGCTGGGGGGCAGTGTTAACACAGACCTTCCTCCTGTCCTTGCTCCCAGTTACATTTTAGAGATTCATTGGCATGAGAAAGACGGGTTTCTACAGGCGAGACACATGCGACCACTGTATTTGAGTGCTGCAGCAAAGAAAACATCATGGCAGTGATGCGCAAACCCTCCAGACCGTAATCTTGTATTTAACAGAAAGCCTTTGTGCATGTACATGTACGACTTAAGATGCTTCGGAAGCTTTTGTCTAAACTCAGTTCGAAACTTCAATCTTTCAGCAAGTAACCTGGGCACACAAACACCTAAACCCCCTACACCTACCCTTCAAAAGTTTAGATTTAAAATTCTCGTGGAAATATTCTCTCTTGTCTTAGTTATAAAAATGATCTACTAACATCTGAACGCAACTTACGTTAAAAGTGGACAAAGGCTGCAGGAGTTATTGACAGAGTCAGAATTAAAGCTAAACCTTCACAAACTTTTTGCATTTACAATCAGGGAACGTTGCCTGAAGGCCTGGATGAAGATCAAAAATATTTATTACGGATTTCTTGTTTTAAGCATAAAAGTTTCCTGTAAATTTTCCATGCTGGCTCCAGCAGATTAAGACACAACACCTCTCCCCAACAACTCACCCAAAACCCATCTACAAACATGGAAATTAATACGTCAAAGCTTCTGTAACATGGAAGATCACTGATTGTAATTCAGCAAGCCAAATACAGCTGCTGAAATATTCTAACCCAACCCAAGCCAAAATAAAGAGTCCTAACAAAAACAAGCGATCTCACTCCATACATCAGTGCATATATACAAAGTGTTAAAATTGCATAGGGCTATCTTGAATGCCAAACTCTCATATAAGGCAGAGACAAACCCACCCACTTCCAACATTTTGCAACGGGACATTTCCTCTTCAGGATTGACTCAACTGTTTCCTGGGTGCCAGAAGAGGTGGCATGGACGTGGTATAGTATTCAGCCACTGCAGAAGAAATTTCCAAAACTAAGCAAACCTAATCATTACATTCTATCTCCTACATCAAAAAAAAAAAAAAAAGACAACTTAAGTATTTTATCTTTGTCAATATTATTTTTCATCTCCCAACAGGAGCATTTTGCACTTGCTGCTGCTGGTTTTTGGGGGGTTGCTCCAGAACCATGTGTTTCGGAAGGGCTCTCTGGAGATGCCTTGTCCAGCCCCCTGCCCAAATCTGCTCCAGCGAGCTTAGACTGCGCGGGGACCTGTCCAGCCAAGTTTGAGCCTCTCTGAGGACAGAGATTCTACAACTTGCTTCAGTCTTTGAGTATTTTTATTTCACTAGTGTCACCATTTCTATAAAAAAAAAGAAACTCAGAGCAAACTAACCCATAGCAGGCAACTCATTCATACCTGTTCATCTCTCAAGCACACTCCTTGAAATCAAAAGAAGTACTGCAGTACTGGCAGTGGTCAGTTTGTCCATCACACCGCTCATGCCTGCAGTGGGAATAAGATTTTTGTCACCCAGGTGGAATTACTATCAGTTTTCAGACTGCGAAGCACCAGGACAGCCTGCACCGATGACCACATTCTAGCAAAAGGTCACTGCCAGGAACACAACGGAGAGCAAGAGGAATGCAAGGGCTGGGGTCCTGCCCAGAGGCTTTTTTGCAGCAGGAGTCACACAACTCCTTTGCACGGGCTGGAGGGAAAAAAAAAAAAAAAATTAAAAAAAAAAATCCACCAAACCCCAACTGCCAGAGGGTAACGCACATTTGGTTATTGCTGACCTGAGCTGCATAGTGACGTAGTGGTTATAACTGTCAACCTCAACTGTGACTTCAACAGCAGGAACGTGTGTGTGAGATAGAGACATCTTGAGCTTTGTGTTTACCTGAGATATTGCTGTTCTTACAAGACACGTGGGAGGTAAGAAAAAAAATAATATAAGAGTAGGGTTTTAGGTATTCATGGTGGTGTGGGGTTTTTTGTTTTTGGGGTTTTTTTTGTTTTGTTTTTTTTTTGACAGGAGACATTTTTGAATACGTAATTTATATTAAAAATATTCCCAGAAAGATAACTGCTGCACTTACAGCACGTTGTACTTTTCAAAGTAAACACTTCAAATGTGGGGTTTTTTAGAAAAATGCTTTAAATTATTCACTAATTCACCACTTGCGGGAGGTGGGAAGGGAAAGGAGGGAAAAATCAAGACATAAAGAATTAGCAGTATTAGCGGCTTAAGAAGATCTGTAGAAGATAAAAATGTCCCTAGCCTGAAATGCATATAAACCATCCCAAGTTCTTCATACTCAGGGAAGGAAAGCTACACAAAATTTCTGTTCATTCCAAGAGGATACACACAGACAACAGCTACTCTCAGATTAAGGGTCTGCCTAGTACTCCTTTTTTCCACAGAAAAGGAGCTGCAACAACTATTCCAGCCCAAAGAATACATCCCAAATAGGACGCAGTGAAGTCTCACAGTCTGCTTCAGATATAAGATTTGAGGTCAAGACAGATTCTGCCCTCCTCACCCCATCTGACCACCTGTAGGAAGTCATTTGTTCCAGATCTGCACAGAGAGGAAAGAGGAGGATGAATTTCACATCCAAGAGGTCGCTGCCTAATGAACAGCAAATAAACTAAATGGCGTCTTCAAATGGTTGATTTTTCCTTATTTGTTAAGAATAATTCATATAAAAAAATAATTCTTATATAAAACTCCACCAAATCGAAATCTTAAATGAGATCTGCAACCTCTCAAGCAAACGCACAGAGATGCGCAACATACCCACCACGGAAAGGTTTTGCAGTTTAGCGGTACTTTAGGGAAGGTATGTACAGCCTCGCTGGAACACAGAAAGATAGACAATGCGACCTGGAATTTGCTTTCTGTTATACCAGCATAATTTAAAATCTAGATTTACATATCTATGACCAAGAAGAAAATCTGACCCAGCATCCTAATCACCAAATTAAACAGTACAAATAGTCTATTAATAGGTTTTACATTGTTATTTCACCTAAACAACACTGACAACCAACACACTGCTAACAAGGTGAAGATCTGAACTTGCACGAGTTTATGTACCTAAAACTCTTTATGCAGCAAAGGTTGGGCATTTTCTAGCTTATTCAACAGCAACCGGTTATAGTCTATCCGTTACATGGCACAGACCTCTGTATTGGTTAAAGCTACTCGCCCTTCTCGGTGCCTAGAGGTAAATGTATTCAAAACAGCGACCGAGCATCTGCTAAGAGAAAAGGGAAAAGACAAAGCAAAATGAATCAGTGGAAGAGAATGACATTTTAAAAACCTGCCTCTTAGCATGTTACGTTTCAGTTACGAAAAATAAACAATATCAAGTCAGCATAAACAAGTTTCCTGGGTTTTTTTCATTTTCTTCTAACCTTCCTTGTGGCATCATAATTAGTGCAATGGTTTACATATGTATTATGGTTTTTTTTTATGAACCCAGTGTGCAAACTAACAGAAGCGTTTGTCAACAATTATCAGCTTTAATTAATGCTTCTCCTAAGAGAATGGCAAAACTCTCACATTTACTATTGACCTTATGCATAATGAAGAGTTCCCCCCCCGTCATAAGTAAACTTCAGTTTCCTAAGATTTATCTTTACTGCATAGATTCTCTGACTTTTGTCTAAATTACAGTGAGCCACTCTCCTCTATTAGAGCTCCTGCTTTACCAATATTCAACATATAAATAAAATACAATTGTTTTGTGCTTGAATGAACGTAGAATGTTGGTCTCGTGTGCGTCTCTGAACTGCACAGGTAAAACCTGCTATGTTGTGTGCACGCTTAAAAAGCCTTTCTACAAATTACAAGCCATACAATATACACTGTATGTATCTCTGAACTCTCACATCAATGTGAATTGCATATTTTTGCATTTGAATAGTAATGTCCCCACGATAGTTTTAATTTCTAAATCCAAAGCATTCTTGATATGTTAACAGAAGTATCATGAGCACTCCTTAGTAAATAAAAATAAATAATAGCATCTAGTCTATCACATTAATACTGTGAAACATATATAAAATTTACATTAACTCAAACAACAGTGAAAAAGGATTGTACTGTATTTATCACCACAGACCCGTATTCTTTAGAGACTTTGGAAAGTAAGTGTCACAGTCCTGTATGACAAATTCTAAAGTTAGCTGTCAGTATGATTTTAAAAAAATTCTTTACAATTTTTTTTTTTTTAAATGGCACATTTTCTTTTGCCAATCTAACTGGATCTATTAAAAGCTTAGGTACAAGTTCATTCTTTGTTAAAATTCTTCTTTAGTCTATGAAAAACATTTTCAAATGCAGCACAATAAAAAACATTCAAGAACAAGCTTCAGAAAATACATTTGCCCTTAGACACACAGAGAATAATCTTTATAAGACAGTTGAAAACCAGAATTTGCCACTCTTTTCTTTTGAAAATAAAATTTTGTAAATGCATCTAGAATAATCAAGGCTTCATAAATAGACAAAAAATGCTTTGCTTTCCTTTGTATTAAAAGCTAATTCGCGGCATTTTAGCCCATCAAACTTTAGTATGAATTAGATATTCCCAAATTATTAAAAGCAATTCAATGAATAGGAAACTGAATGAGGAGTTTTGTGGGTTGGGTTGTTGGTTGTATTGTTTTTTTTTCCCTAAGCCCTGAGATCACAGCTCTTGATTTAATTATAAAATATGGGTCTGTTTTATACCAAGCAGCTTAGAGATTTTTGGCAAACCACATTTCCAACAATAGTGGGGTTTGGTACAAGAATGCAGTTCATAATCAAGTCTGAAATTTTGGACGGAAGGCTTTCTTGCAAATGGGAAAGAAAAAAATTAAGATGCATCACTCATTGCTGGCTGTCACTGTAGCTTGGGCAACTGTTGGTCTAAGTGCAGCTGGTCTCATGTGAATCCAACTCTGTATTGTACTGAGTCGCTAAACATTAAAACATGTCAAGCAAAGTACATAGTGCGCAACGTGTCCTGATGAACTTGAACTGCTTTAGCAAGTGCTTGATGATCTCTGCCATTACTCTGACCCGAAGTGTGGCTTCCTTCAGCACTGAAAGAGAAGGGAGGTGGGGGGGAAAAAAAACAGAGGTTGGGGGGGAAAGAAGTGAAACCCTATTTCATCTGTCTCTCCTTGCACAGAATGTTTTTTGTATCATTCATTTCTTCTAAAGAGAATGGTCAAAAGTTAATTACCCATAAAACAGCACTGAAGTTCTCAAACAGAAGGAAGCACAGAAGCATACAGCAACATTATCTGCTTTTTTTTTTTACCCCTCCACAATACACTTCAGTGCTAAGACCAAATTAACCCTCGAACTGCTGACTGAGGATACCACTGACCCCCGAAACGAACAAGCCCATTTCCTTCCTGCTCTCTTTCAAATTCTGTAATAATTCAAAACTATGCAACTCACCTATCATGTTCTTTATCCACCAGATGATACCTGGCTCTGAAGGCAACCAGGTGCGCGTAATATGCTGGTGCAGGGATGGAAACAGAACGAGTACAGCGTACGTACGTATGACACAGCTGGTAGGTAAGAATCTGCAGTTCATCTGAAGAGAAACGATTGTCATCCCAGAGGACGTGGTAATGAGAAGGTCTGCTTGTTCCCTGAAGGCAGATCACACAGGACATCAGCATTTCAAAAACATCTCTTTAAATTTCCACCTCTGCAGGTGAACTGCAGTATAACCGTCTGCTTCCTCAAAAATCAAATGTGAGCAATTCTATGTATTTCAGCAAATTTTTCCTTTAAAAAGGCAAACAGCCTCCTTCCTTGCTCCCTATATAACTAATCCCCTTGCATTTTTGGGTAGGATTGCACTTTCTGGAATCTCATCCCTGTTACTGAAATTAAATGAGCTTACTGAAATGCACTTTCATCTTGTGAAACTTAGATCTGACAAAAAACCATCATATAAAGTAGTTTTAAGCGAAACATTAATAGCCTACAGCAATCTAACTTGTGCCTCTACTGAATACACTTTTTTAGACAATATCAAATGGTGATTTTTTGGTACTGTTGTTGATTAGTAGTTTCTGACTGGGAAGAAGAAATCACAAGAAACTGTGAAACTACAATGTTGCTTTCAAAATGTTGTTTTCCAGGAACTGGATGCCCATTTCAAAAGAATGCAAGAGGCAGCTCTGTAAAACAGTCCAAATACCTTGTGACCATTCAAAGTAGCACACAGACAGGAGAGAAACACAATAAAAATGCACCGGGTGTGCTGCATATCTGTTTAGTCTCATTATTTCTTTCAGATTTTAACCATGACAGAAGAGCACTGTGGATGGCACAGATGAAAAGCCAAAATACACAGATGGGAGTTGTACCGTTTGTCTCCTGTGTAAAAGAATGTGGGAAATACCAACAGCCAGTGTTATCTTTGACAGTTAACATCCCACACAAAATGCTGTACCTGAATACCAGCATGACTACACAGGTAAAAGTCAAACTCTGATGGATGGGTGATTTTTGTGTCCACTGTGGTACCCGCTGGAATGTTTCCGCTTTTTCCAACCTGTGTGAACAGAAAATGCAAACATCGTAAGGCACAAAGTTTTTCTTTTCATCTGTACAGTAAGGAAAAAAACACAAGAAAAAAATCTGTGGGGAAAAAAAAACATCTGTAAAAAGCAGAAAGTCAAGAAAGAATGAGGAAAACTGAAATTTTGTTCAACTGAAAGTCTGAAGTGTCTCTATTACGGAGGGGAAAAAAAAAAAGATGCGCTGCAAAATCTTCTTGGAAGTTACCTACAAAGATAAGCTTTTCTGATTAATGTAAAAAGTTCCTGCAACTGATTTGTCAAATTCTTTTCACCTTCCCATTCCAGTACAGGTTACTCCTCTGTAACTTTTCTTTTTTTATACCTGGAAGAAGACAAGCCAGAATTGTAAGACAGGCCTCTCCTTCCCCCAAAAACACTTTACTTCAAAGTAGAACTTACAAATACTCTTTACTTTAAAACAATTTAACCACTGTAATCATAGCATATCTGTATCAAAACCACCTTCATGTCAACATTAGAAGTTACTAACTATTACCTTGAAGCCCACTGGGCTTCAAACGCTCACAGAGAGAAGCCTGACAGAAGGAAAAAGAACATGAAAAACCCTATCTGCAAACGGAGGGTTGCTATTAGTAACTCTTCACTTACAGCAATGACTCCATCCTGGACTTGGGTGGAGTCTCCTCTCCACCCAGAAAGGTGGAATCAAATATTTCTACACACACTTCACACAGATACAATGGCAACTATGAAACTCTCATAAAAAAACCTGAGATGAGTACTCAAACTTGATTATGAGCACTCAAATTTGTAGTACTCAAATGAGATTTGACTACTACAAATAACGTGTTGTGACACTTGATATGCCCAAACCAAACTCCACGTTTCTAAGACATTAGACACCTAAGGTACCTTAAAGGTAGTGTTAATGGAAAAGAAAGTACTCTTGAAGTATAGGGTTCACCTTACCTAACAATTTCAGTGTCTACTTGTGCAGGTGTCTACATCTCATCACCATCACTCTCTAGTCAGTGAACCAAACCAGTGAAGTCACTAGTGCTAGAATCCGATGAAATGTGCCTTAAAGCATGTTGGGAATACTAAACGGATCTCCATTCACAACAAGTGCCCAAGGTAACTGTTCCAGTTGCGGACATCTACACTATAAACCCTACACTACTCAGATCAATCTCAATCCTTAAGGATCTTGAGACAGTAAAAAAAGCTGGAAAGAAACCTGAGAAAATTGATGAACTTAAAAAAGGATGGACGGAGTTGTTGAAAGGCACATCCTGCTCACATTTTATAAAAGCTTCTCGCCAGTTCATTATATGAGACAGAAAATCAAGGTTTTTCCTTTCCAGGCAGAAAGATCTCACCCACTACATTAAGTAGTTCTTCAAACAAGTCTCTTACTGCTTAAATAAGCAGTAAGTAATAAGCAACTTGGCTGCCTGCTAGATACTTGCTGGTCACAATTAGAACATACCCGTTCATTTTTATCTGTACAGAAGAGTCTGGTGTGATGCCTTTTCTGCACAACTATAAATGTAATTCCAGGCTGGTAATCCTTTTCTAGTTTAATGCATGCTTCTCTGATAGCCAGCAGTTCATGATGGAGAACCTGAATCACAAACATAAAGAGGTGTGATAAATATGAAAGATAGCGATCTTACAGATTACTCTTATTTATTGTGTTCCTTCTTGCACTGTCACTCAGGGTAATGAGATGTCAAAGCACGCAGGGTCAAACCTTAATTTCTTCAGTTAATGAGAACAAATTAGATCACCGGTTTCCTGAGCCAGGCGAGAGCTGGTTCCATATTTGTTCAGCTCCAAGCACGAGGCTTGGACTAATAAGCTGTACATCAAAATCTTTTTAACTGCCAAATACAAATGAACATTTAATTAGGCTGCTGGATATACAACAGCCTAATTATTTTTCACAATAGTACAAGGGATAAAATCCAGAATTGCTCAACTGCATGCTCTTTCCCAGCTTTGTGAACTCTCACACAGGACTACAGGCATGAAGAAAAACAGAGAGAGGGAAGTGCAATAAAACAAAAAGCAGTGATTTGGGTTAATCAGATATTTAAAAAAAAAAAAAAAATCAGTGAAAAATAGTGATAAATGGGAAAAACATTTCAAAGTTCATACAAAAATTAATTCTATTAATTCAATTTACTAAGTGAACTTTTCCCCCTTGCTCTTGGATTTTGAGAGGTTGACTAAGTTCTTTATCTTTTAATTTACATATAAAAATATCAGAAAGGAAACCATGTACAAATATCTTTAAAATATATATGAAAAAAAATCATAAAATATGGTACCTGTAAGCAAACAATATAAATACAAGCAAGTATTTGTTGAATTTTATCAGGAATGAATGAAAAGCAACAGTGTGAAAATACAGGATTTATTATTCCTGGTTAAAAAAAATTAAGAAAATTAGCTTACACAATTTTTCTTTACTGTCCATGTTCTATGGGAGCCAATTTGATTAACATATCTTGAATAGGTCACAGATGTTGAACATGCTTGAGTGCTACAACTATATTTTCTCATTTATTTTTGCAAAAGGAAGTGTTTTAAAGGGGAAAAAGTATTAAAGAAGCTCGTGAAAAAATATGAAAACGCTTTCCTTGCTCTGGTTAGTTAGAATCCAACAGATTCGTTGAAGGAAGATTTATTGAGGGAATACCTCTTTTTGTAACTTCAACGACATAAAACTTCATCTACTACCAGAAAACTACATAATCAAATCTAAAAAAAAGAGAAATATAACCTGTTGAAACTGCCCCTCTGAAACGCCATCTCTGTAGAAGATTATACGAGTTGGTTTAAATCTGGTTGATTTGTAGAATTGAATAAGCAACTCCCTGACCATGGCAGCCAAATCTTGGATGATTTCTTGGCGGTGCTGCTGGACCCGAACAGTGGCACAGTATCGATTAGGATGAGCATCCATGCTTCCTACAACCTGTTGAAAAAATGCTTAGTATCAAACCAAATTTAACAGTACTTTAATAAAGATATTTCATGAAAACAAATGTACTTTTTAACAGTATCTTGCAAACTAAGAGGTTGACAAAGCGAAGATCAAAATCGTAATGTGCTTGGAAAGAGCTTTGAGTTCAGTCTACCTGTGGTAACACACCCTGCTGAAACCAAAAACTTATTTTAAATCTCAAAGGCTAATTCCCTGTTTGCACTACATGCAGTTAAAAATGCACTTACAATTTGGAGCAGTGATACCATGACAGCATAGATTTAGTTCAGACTGCAACATAGGAATTTGAACTCCTGAAGACAAGAGTCCCTTTCTGGGACACCGTGGATGAATTCATAAAACTGAAATGGTGGGGCACCAGAGAAATATCCACAAACAGACACCGCTCGCCAAGGGACGTCAATTTTTCAGTTACGAAACTTCAAAATTCATACATTTTAAAAGTGGCATAGGACTTAAAAATAAAATAAAAAACAAACCAAAATATCCAAATTCTTTACGTCAAAAAAAATCACAACTAAGCACGTTGTCACCTGGCTTTCCCTGGACATACATGTGTAACTTTAAGACAGGCATTTGCTTGTTTGTTTACCACCAGAGCTAAGCCTAAGATGAACACCGCACATACATACTGTCAAAGATCTTTGTTATTACATAAGCCAGAGCAGCCATGACAGGCGTTTGACATCGTGCAAGTCAAAGCCCCTCCACCTATATTTAAGGAGTACATTTCTAAGAGATTATTCCATGATTTGTGTCATGTGTCATCAGGAAGCTCGAACCCCCAAACCCCTCAACTGAGTCAGCCTAGTTCCCTATCAGCAATGGACAAATTCTTAACATTTTTAACTGCTGAAAAAGCAGATTTAAACATGCACCAGCTTATCACAGATTGCTGATAAATATCAGCTAATAGAAAAGCTCCGCTGTGTATTAGCATCTCAGGCGTTTTACAAGCTAATACATACATTTAAGTCATTAGCATCAATCAGAGCAAGCTCTCCAAAGTTTCATTAGATTCCTGCAGAAAAAATAACTTACAATACTATAAATAGGCAATCAGAAGAAATGGACCGCAAAAGAATTGAAAGCAATAAAACGCATTAGAGTTGAGCAGCAGGAGAAAGCAGGGGTTAAAGATCATTACACAATTTACTCACTGCAGCAATGGAAGGCTTTTTTCCATCTCCAGCTGGCGGATGAGTTACATCTGCACCAAGGAATATGACAGGCTGTTGAAATACTGGTGGTCTGATAAAGAGAAAGCAAATTTGTAAAAACAGCAAGGCTTACGCTTGATAAAGCACATTATAACCCAAGTAAATAGCACTCTATACTCTCGCAGTGAATTAGTCAACAATTTGCATTTGATCAGAGTTGGTCACTTTACTGTCACAGTAACTACAAGTCCTGATTAGAGTTCTCATACAAAACACTTAAGCATATTTTTGAAGCATAGCTAATTAGTACTTTTTATTAAAGATGATTAAAAAAAAATCCATTTTTTTTAACTGGAAGAATTGCAGCCTTTATTAGTTAGACCACAGAAAAGAACAAAAGTTGATTTCTTAACAAGAAATAGCATCTGAGAAAATGAAAGGCCTGTGTACATACACAGATGCTACGATTTTGTTTCTGAATAAAAAAAAGCGTTAGTAAGGCAGTAGAAAAATTGTGGATATCGTAGGTATTATTTTAAAAGAGATTTTTTTTTTTTTTTAAACTATGCTTCAAAATTTTAAACACAGGTTTAAGTTATTAATCCATAGCATCAAGTGTTAAACACCAAAACACTGCACTGGAAGTTTGAAGTTTCAACTCTACTCCTTAATAAAACAATTTTAAACACGAGATCTTAGGCCACCAGAATTTTGCATGTGTATGTAGGTGTGGGGGGAAGTGGTTATGTAGATAGATTCTGCTGTTTTCAGGCCTCCTCTAAAAAGGAATTTGAAGTTAACAATAACAATGTAACTTATAAGGCAATTACACAAATAAAAAGCTGTTCCGTTCCCATCCCCCTCAACCAACAGAAAATAATAATTAAAGTGTTATGTTTTCAAAACTTAAAACCTGCACTTTCATAGAACATCTAGGTGTGTGTAGTTAGTTACACCACTTTGTCTTTCTCCCTTTATTTAACTCTATTTTCATGAATGCATATTTCATTGGTATAATGAGCAGAATTCAACTTTCTGGCCACACTATTGCTGTCAGCACATGCCATTTAACAGAGACCTCATGTTTATGAATCCAGCAGAAAACTATTTATATAGGGTGTGTGCGTTTCTGTTTTGTTTCCACAGCAGTATCTAACTCCTTTTTGAGAAAAAAACCAAAACAAACCCAACAAAACAAAATCCTCTCACTGTGCCTTTTTGAAATGCATGCTCTGCAATATGATGGTTTTCAGTTGTGTTAATAGGAGTCTCCAACAAGCACGTTACCCAAGCTGAGCATATTTAGTTCAATAAACAGAACTTAACAAGATACACAAAATATATAGTCTTTCTGACAATGTGGTTGTGGTTTTTTTTTCTCTCCCTATGTACTCATTGTTGGATTATTTTTTAGCAGCTGCCTTCCAAACAGCCTAAATACCTCTAAGTGAAAATTTGCTCATCTGTGCAAAACAGAATGTTGACTTCTTTGAAACAGGCTCCCAAGAATGACGTAGCAGGTTATTCCCTGAGCTCGCTCTACAACTTGAAATGCAATGATTGCAAAAATGCCATCTTTTTACTGACATAGAACCCTAGTTGTTCATTTTGATTAAAGCAATTTTATGTATCTTTATGGTAGCCTTCTCTGTCCTGCACAGGTATGGCAAAACAAGCTGTATTTTGTTCATTCTTCCGTTAGCATTTCTTGCCACTGATTTTTCAATAAAACTGATTAAAAGCTCCAATCTAAACATTTAACATGACACACAAACCAAATATTGTCTTTAACAGCAGGGTGCCTTCTTTTCTTTACAAATAAGAAGATATTTATTTCACTCCCACTAAACTACATGGGGGACTTCAGTGACATGTCAGATACAGAATTCAATAGTATCAAAGCAACTTCACAGAATAGAGGCACAGTGTAACTAAAACTTATCAATGTAATACTAATAAGAAATTGCAAGGTAAACTGGACCTGGAAACCAATTAAAAGTTTTCTGCTCCCAGCTTTTGTTTTTTTTAAATGTCTATGTAAGTTAGGACATACAACAAAATGAAGAATCTTGACCTCAATTAAACTATAAAGGAAAAAGCACTACTATTCAAGATGGTTTCTATTTGTTTCTGTTAACTCAAGGCAAAAAAAAAAATATTATAAATTTTTCATTCAAAGGAAAGTTGTATAATTCAATGGTCAGACTGCAATAACAATATTTTTATTATAAATTTCAACTGGAACAAGTATTCCTCTTCAGTCTTCATAACGTAACTTTTGCAGGACTATTAGAAGCCAAAAGATCGTTTGACTGAAGAGTCACTTAAACTACAGTGCTATGACTTCAGATAAAAGCACCCAGTTATCTTAATATGACGCAAGTTCTCTTTGCAATACAATACCCTCTTCCTCTTTGAAAGCTGGCTTACCTTCCCTGCGGCAGTAAAATATTATTTACACCTCCTAATTTGACATTTATTTTTAAGCAAAGGTTAGACAGAGTTTGTGGTGTTGTTCTTTGCACATTTTTCATCTGAACGCACTGTGTAGCCATTCCCAGCACGGTGTCACCAACGCGCTTCACCTCCGCTGCAAAACAAAAGACAAATGAAAAAAATACTCACATATTGCAAATCAAACCATGTAGGGGTTGTTAATTCAGTGACAGTTAACTAAACTTAAGAGTGTTAGCAACGTGGTCATTAAGCTTACAAAAAAACAAACAAAAAACTCAACCCAGACTCCAATAAACCTTCTCCCAGTTCTGTACCACTCCACCTGCCGAAAGCGCAGTAACTGCGTCCTAAATATAACTAAAGACACTGTTGGCTCATTATAACTGAGAAATGTGTAAGTTACACTGATTGTAATTTTAGCATTATTCAGCATGGAAGAACCTTTGGCTAATGAAATAGGTAATGTGAATGATATTGGGATGATGAGCGCTTGTTTCATTGGTAAGCACTGAACTAGTAATGCAAACTTGATAGTAACACACTGAGTAATATTCAGCCAACCAGTTTAATCAGTTCATTACTGCAAATTTACCGTTTGCATACATGTAACCAGTTTAGCAAATAAAGGCCCATAAAAACTCCAAAAGAAACTCATTAAGAGCTGTACTCTGAAAGATTAAAACAAATCCTATTATTAACAACAAAATTGAGACTTAAAGGCTGTAAGAGAGCCATATTCTTACACTCGGGAGAAGAAGAAATTTAGGCTCCAAAACAGGCACAGAGAAGATGCAAAGCCCCCCCCACCCCCCCATTGCCAAGAGGAGAGGGAAAGGGGCGTTTTGAGGAGCAGCGTGAGAAAAGGAGAAAAGGTAACGCTGTGGGTATAGGAAAGGCAAGTATGGAAGAGCACAGGGAGAAAATAAAGATAATTAGAGGGGGCAGGAAGAACTATAATTAAAGATAATGACAAGGAAAGTAGATGAGAGTGGTAACACATCCTTTAAGTGGTTAAGTAGAGGAAAGAGCCCCCTTTTAATGCCAAGCAGAAACGTGAAAATGTCATTTTGCACTGAATTTCTATTGAACAAATTAGAGACAAGCAACTTCCTTTGCAAGGCTGAATTCAAGGTGGAAAAAAAGGGACTATTTCGTTGAGGTTCCTTTTTTAATCTCTCTTTTTTCCTCATACGAGATAGTCTTGGGGGAAAAAAAAAGAAATTATTGTATTTTATATTAATCGGTGAGGGTGAGGGATGGGATAAAACAAATCTGCAGCTGCTTGGTAGATCTGAGCCATTAAAGAGAGTCCATGAAGCTATGGGAGAAAAATAGTGAACGGTACTGCAATTAGGCAAGTTAAGTGAAAAAAGGAGGAAGGAATGATAGGAAACCCAGCAGTCTTGCCTATAGGAAAAACTACTTAAAATCAAAATGCATGGTTTATCTAAAACATATTAAAACTTATGCATACGTGCTATGTAAAACGCACTAATTGTCAGTCTCGTTCCAACAAACAGTTTAAGTTGCTGAATTTTCCCCATCCACGCATCTGTGTCCTCACAACCCAAAAGTTAAGAGAAAGGACAGGAAAACGCAATTGGGAGAAATCTCCTTCACTCAACATTTTTTGCCAAAGGGTGATGGCATGAGTAAGCAAAGATGTTCTAAAAGCTACACGGTTCTTGAGTTCATTACTTCTTCAATCACTTTATTTATCACTAAATTTTTAGCACACAAATTAGAGTAAGTATATTTTAATCCACTGAATATCAGTTTCAGCAATTTCACAAAAGCCCTGGTTTAGCTTTCTCACTCACAAACTGCATCTCAAATGCAACCAGCAGGAAGAATGTGGAAAAGCAAATGAAAAGCACAGACAAAAATAATGAAAATAATTAAGGTCTTAATATAAAACATCATGCAGCACAAGAAGAAGAATAAAATTAATTTCTAGACCATTCCTTAAACAGAATTTGTATAGTTAAACCAGAATTCAACTTCTCTCATTCAGGGACTTCACGAAAAATACATGAAATAGTGACTGAAACACACATGCTCATGATTTGCACTTACTGACCATAGACTGGTGTTTTTCCTGGCAAAATTACTACAACAAGCTGCAGCCCAGTGTAAGTGTTCTTGAGATGTCTGAACATGGGCTCCACACTGTCAGCTCCCTGCGCGTATTTACAGAAGCACGGCTGCCCCTGGATTTCATTCCTGCGTCTCTGGATATTTTCCTCAGTTGTTCTGTAAAGGACCTAAAGGATGTAAATAAATACATCAGATTCTCAGGTAGCAAAATCCACCTCGATTTGTCTTTTTATTTTTAACGGAACAATTCTGTTAAACTTGCAAAGTTATGCTGTCCAAAAACCTGGGAATTTACCCCCACGTGCATCTTTAATTGACTGTGCCTATGTAGTCACTGAAGGAAAGACAGGGAAAGATGAGGAAATACACTGTACAAATAATACCATTACTAAAAACGTCACTTCCAAAGCAAATTGTACCTTATTTGATCTTTCCACAGGAGATATAGTATAAGCTACTTTTTGCAAAAACACTGCAATGATGATATTTTGGATAGCCCGCTCTACCATATTTCCATGTATATCACTACAGAAACAGCCGGAGTTCCTTCTTTTTCTTGGTGAGGAAAACAACCCACAGAAGTTAGCAGCAATTGCTGTCCCACCAAATTGATCTAACGTCAATAATAATGCACAAGAAAACCTTGCTAGATAGCAGAGAAAAGGTATGTCCTGGAGATGAAGACAAACCTTCTCCAAGGATGGTGCAAATATAAGTCACCCTTTGATGGAACTGGTGAGAAAGAGACAACTGAATTTTGTCAGAGGCTTGTTGAAGTGAAGACTCTGTCAGCTTCCCTGCTAGCAGGGTCTGCTGCCTTCTCCTGGCTCTTGTTAACATGGTAGGGTTTGGCTATCTCTTCTTTTGAAGGAACACCAGGAAGATACTGTGTCTGTTTGTACGGAAAACAATAGAAAGCACTTCAGTGTAGAAGTCTAGAAGTATACCCAGTCTGGAAAGCGCCATCAAAGTCATGGCTCCTCCAGGTTGGATGCCTTCATCAGTGGTGGATGAGTAGTCCATAAGTCCCATCCCCATAAAAAAAGGCAAGATGAGCAAGTAGTGAGGTGTCACAGCGCAGACCTGTAGAGCGGAGTACTTGGTGCTGGTGGACCAACATCCACACTACATGTGTTTGCGGGATTTGTCTTCAGAGTGGCTGTAGTCTGGTGCAGTGGGCTGAAGCTCATCTAGGGAATTTACATCCAAAAAAAAAAAAAATCAAAAAAAAATCCACACTGTACCCTCAAACTACTCCCTGATACAGAATATGGCATGGCAATTGGTGACCACCAGGAGCATCACTTCAAATATGCACTCCTGATCCAACCTAAAACACTCGTGCAGACGCACACAGAGATGTGCTTCTTTGGCACTTGGCCTGATGACCAGCACAGTAAACGTGATGCCAGGTAGGAACGCTTAACTGGCATCAACACTGACAAAGCCCCTTTTGTTACTTTGGAGCAAATGTCTCCATAAGTGTCTAAAAAGTTGCTCGTCTTCACCAAAGGGTGCCAGATAATACAGTCTTACCCACTGACAGAGTGTGAAGATTTAGTTTCTTCCAAACCCGTCGTTAATTTTCATGAATCATAACAGTCTGTGAGCTTTGGCCCTGCAACTTGTGCCTTCTTGCAGAAAATAGGTGTATTAAGCATTTTCTGTGGCAAAACAGGCACTTACCACTATGAGCAGAAAGAGTCAGTGGCAGAACATACAAGTCTAAACTGGTACAGATTTTAAGCCTTTAGAAGTCCCTCTCTAAGTATGGTGTCTAAGAGGAAAGGTTCTCTGCCAGTTCCCGACAGGTAAAGGAGGATGATTTTGAAGACTTTTAGGGATTTTGAAGGCTTTTATTCTGATGGATGCACAGCAGCTGAGTTCCAACTTGCTCAACAAGGTGTAACAAGAGGCAACAAGATGCAACTGGATGCAGCCATATTCCTAGTATGAAGGAACATCCTTTCACATAAGGACAAATTCCATCGAAGCCATCAAATAATTTTATTTTGGTTCATTATGTTGAAAACTTCTTCCTGTCTCTCAAAACCAACTAAGTTCTCCTACGCAGCATTTTCACTAAAAGCAGCAATATGGAAGGGAAAAATTCTCTGGCAGCTTAGTTCCTGCCACGTACCTGGAGAGAACAACAAGCCCCTAGCCTTACCTTTTACTTTTCTTCCCATTGTGTAAGATTTCCACCACTTGTTAAGGAAAAGTTCCCAAGCTATTTGGCAAATCATCTAAAGGAACACTGTTATGGCAATACGGTTGTTATGAACAATCACTGTCCTGCATTCACCTTACAAAGAGCAGCTGAGTCACCTGCTAGGGCAGCTGTAAGAGCTGCACTTGCCCATGCACGAAGGGAAAACAGCTGCGTGCAAAAGAAGGAATTAGACAATCCATTTACACAGGCATGCACACTTTCCCTGATCTAAAGAATGGTAGATGTCACTTTTAACAACAGTCTTTCAATAATCAAGTTCCATCCAAAGACAGAGAAACCAAACTTGAAAGTTTCATTCAAATGCTCAAAGTTAACAAAACAACCGCTAGTTGTATTCATCTTGCAAGTACAGCAACTTGCACAGTATGGGAACTCTAGAGGGTAGAAAGTTTTAGCCAGAAGTTGGATTGCTTTTTAGAGTTTTCCTTCTAAGTAAGTTCTGCACAAATAAATCTATTCCTTACAACCAGGAAAAGAACCTAAGACGACATACATGTTAGCTTTCACTCTTGACAAATAGTTGTAAAACACCCTTCATTACCTTATTTTGGTCATCTTAAATTTTGTCTTAAGGTCTCACTGCTCAGAAACCTGCCATACAGCGTGAATTGCTTTTGGCAAGTCTGATTTGATCATTCAAAACAAGGAGACAGAACTTCAAAAAGCACTGTTGAAGAGGTATTGCCATATGTTAAACAATTTAACAAAATATATATTCGAAATAAATAAGTGAAATTGTGGTATTTCCATACATAACAAAATCACCACTTTATGAAACACACTTACTTAAGATGAACTTCAGTGCATTGGCGCTGGGGAGCAAAGCACGCAATTGCCCAAACCTTTATTTCAATTCCAGTGTGAAACTGTTTATTCCTCATGTCCCAGACTCCTTGAACTGGTGTAGCAATTGCTTTGTTCTAGAAGTGGAAGAAAAAAATAACAAAACCAAAACACCGATGCAAAAATTGATTCATGCTAACAAAAACCAGTTGTGCCTCTGCTTCCCTCCAACTAGCAGGCTATTTATATTCTTAGGTCTCTCTCTCCACTGTTCAAACACCTATCCTACCTTATAAAGCTCAGTCTATCACCGCAGCAAAACAGCTTGCTAGCCTGGTGACAACTAAAGCTCATAAAAATAAAGCTTATATTGTTCATTTTTATTGTTGATGGTTTCCTTTGGTTATATAAATCAGTAGCAGATAGAAATTAAATACGGAGGGTGAGTCAGATTCATGCTTGGTATGTAACATTAACAAGAACATACATTTCTACAGCGACTTTACAACTGCTCAGTGAACTTTCCAAGAGCAATTTAAGCATTATCAATATTTTACACATCACTAAGTAGAGGCAAATAGTGGTTCGATGTCACTCACACAACTCTAGAAAAAATGTGAACAAGCTGACAAAGACGATCAGTTACTCAACTTTGACCTGCGCAACACTTTTTTTTCCATCCATCTAGCAGACATTACTGTGATGGATTATCTAGAGGACAAGGGATATAATAAGATGACTAAAGTCATTCTGGTGATGTTAATTACCTTAATAAGTATTAGTATCCAGTAGATATTTTAGACAAGTTACCACGATGTCTGCGGCCTTATTTAGCGGCAACAGCTAAAACTTACAGGAATTTTTCAGGACACACACAAATCTGATAATTCATTTTGCAAAGTGTTGTGCCTGCTGAAAGCACTACCTCCCCCACTCTGACTTTCCATCACTCATCTGCCATTAAGCTCTTGTTCCCCCTCTTCCCCTGGTGCCAGAATAGATCGTGAGAGCACTCTCCCTAATCAGGATCAGGCAAAGACAGCTGTGCTATCTTAACCGGTCAGCGAAGGAAGGTTTGAGCTAATCTGCCTGATTTTTTCTGAAGAGCTTTAGGTAGAAAACGCGAGATCCTCTCCCATTACGGGTTTATGGAGGTAACAGTATAATTCATGCACAGGGACAGAACTATGTTCAGCTGGCAATGCATGATCTAGAAGAGGTTTGTCAAAAGCCCTCACAAATTAAGTTATCCCAGCTATCAAAGCTTTCACCTTGCACAAAAACGTTATATAATTGGTAGAAAATCCCGTTTCTCAAGCTTTTTTTGGAAGACACCACAGTAGGAAGATTATGTCAGAAAAGTAATCTGAAAAGCCATTGTAAAGAAAAAAAAACTCGTGAGTAAATAATCCAACAGGAAGAGATGGCTCTCAAGAACATGCTGACAGAGAAAATAACTTAAGGTAGTTGTCCTAAACACAGCTGCTCCACCCAGAACACCCAAAAGCAACCAAAAGTTCAGGAAGCTTTCAGAGTTAGGGGAGGCAAAAATGAACAGTCATAATTGAAGTTTGTCTCTGTTCTCCATATACACCGATTTGAACCACTATTTGCAGGTTTCTTCTTGCAACACTAAATAAAACAGTGCATGAAGGAAAAAACACACACAATTTTCTTCTGAAGTTTGCATAAATGCATTTGCACCCTAGCTTTACTTTCAGAAATAAAGAAGCGATTGAGGGAGATGCAACATGGCTGTTACATTTAAGGACTTTCAAAACTTACATTTAAGTTCTAAACACTACACCTATGACTTCATCCCATCACATCCAACATAATTAATTTAAAACAACCACATTACAGAAGTTATCACAGCTGGTAGTGGAAGCTATCACAGCTATCCAGTATCTGTTAACATACCCTGCCTCCGTAGAGGATTGAAGGAGGCTGGAGGACTCTACCGGTCACATCCGTCATTTCATCTTTGACCATTATTCCAAATTCACGAACATAAGGGTCAGTATTAAAACTTGCACTCCGCATCTGAAATGACAAGGAATTAGGTATTTCTTGGGAAAAAAAAAAAAGTTCTTTTATCTAAAACTTCCTGAGATCACCTGTATTTGGGCACATACCACTTATATATGGGTGACGCCAAGTATTCAGAGCCTCTGCTAATTCTACTTGGATACATGGATGCCTCAAAATTTGAAATAAAGCACCAAAAGAACACTTGAAAACCTTTTGTGAGAATGTGTTTTTCTGTGATTAAGAGAGAAAGTCTTACAAGAACAAGTCCAAAACCTGTGTGTAGTGCACAAACTATTTAGTATCTGCTAATAGTAAGAGAAAAATTAAGTCCATTACTACACTTTGCTCAAATTCAACCGAACACTCACCAATTTGCTAATCTCTTCTTGACGGTCAGGTGCTGATCTGGCAGTTGCTCGAATCATAGTGGAAGTTTGATTGTCAGTGAGTTTCTTTATGCATCTTTGTCCTGCCACTATGTTGCACACCTAAAATATCCCCACACAAAAGGCAGTTAAAAAAACCACAATGCAACTGGTGTTTGGTTTGGGTGTTGGTTTTTTTTTGGTTTTGTTTTTTGTTTTGTTTTTTTTTCCACTGCTGCGTTACACAATGTCTGAAGTTGGCTACTCAAAAAACAGTTCATCAACACTGGAGCCGTTTTTCCCCTCTGATCCCTCGCCCCCATTCCCAGAATGTAATATTACATAAAAATGTACTTGCCTCAAGAGGAAGGTATGTGTGTTTCTGCTCCTGTCCAACTTGTAAACATGGAAGGTGAGGATAGCGTAAAACTAATTTGTGCCTGTCCTTAAAATACTGAGCTACAGTGCATTCAACTGTTTGTCCATTCTCCTGCTTTTTTTTTATTGGAAATGAAATATGAATATAAGCCATTACTTCATGTAGAACACTTTCCCACATTTGCTCAAGACACTTCTTGACACAAGTTAAGCTTACTGGAGATTAAATCTATTCTGCTGAAATGATGCACGCATACTTCTATAATTAAGATTCCATCATTGCCACTACCATGTGTCTTCTAACAGTACCACAGAGGGCTGTTTCTCTAACATTCTTGGTATCTGAAGCTATAAATTAAGTTTCCTAAGAGCGGGTGCCTTAGAGACAGAGACTAATGATTCTATATGATTCTAATGTTTTCTGCTTATTTGGGATACTTGCAGTACTACATTTTATGATATGCCCTGTATAGAAAATAGTAAGCCTACTCTGAGAGTTGCAAAACCAATTACTGCTTCAGAAATGCATTTCTCTCTTTCTGTACAACTATATTTCCATATATGCACACACATTTGCATATACTTACATCAAGATGGCACAAATATTGTCTTTTCATTAATATAATACATCACTGAAAGTGCACAAAACAAAGCCCAAAAAATTAAATACCAGATTTAGATACTGATTGATTATCTTCTGGTAAAAAGCCGCTATCGGTTTTGTTCCTTAGACTACTTTCTTAAAAATGGGAATAAATAGCTCCGTATTTAAATTATCTGCAAATCCCTGGTTACTGATCAAAAACGTTTTTTCCAGAGGAAAAATAGATTAGCAATAAGCAAGATTAGAAACCTGATGCCAATTGGCACCACTTTTCTACTCAACAGTTCTGGGAAACATTACGCTACCATTAGGGCACCCTGTTCTTCCAATGTTGAAGAAACCCATAAATGAAAGAAAACCCCACCATCACAGATTTAAAACAAAGCAACTGGTTCAAATGCCATGACATACATTACAGCATAAAAATAGAACAAAAAGAACAGCAAAATTGGGAAGATACTTCGAGGTGTATTTTAAATATATTGACCAAAGCAGTACAATTTTTCAAGACAACTTTTCCTGTGTCAGTAAGGCAGGCGAGATACTTTTCCAGCCTGAGATTAAACATACGCTTAAAAAGAAGCAAAATACTTTACGTTTGGTGACTTGCGGGTCGTCTGGTGACATTGCACACTCTGTACTTTCTTTTCATTTGTCCACAGTGTGTTATCTCCACCTTTAGACCTAAAAATGGGAAAACGCATATCACTGTTTCTTCAAAATCAAGGTGTCAGCCTCCTTAATTGCTACACAAGACCACTTACACGGCGCTGTATAAAGCTATTCACTACTTAGCATGTTCTCAAAGCACCAAAGGGTAACCCAGACAGAATTAAAAAAAAAAAACCACCCAAACAATTTATAGTCTTAAAATTCAAAAACCCTGAGCTTTAGCTAAAGTTTAACAAAGAATTTCAGCAACAAGATGAAACCCCCAAAGCCCCAAAGAGTTCACAGACGAAGCTGAACGCATTCAGTGAATTCCAATTCTGTACCTCTAAGGAAGTCCAGGGTGGTGGAAGGACAAAAAGGGCACGCAACCTCCTTGAAACAAAAAGCTTGTTTATACTTTAAATCTAAACATATGGCGTCTGTGAGGTCTCCAGCTATTGCAACCAAGCCTGAACTCATGAATCGGTGGGGGGAAAAAATACCCATACAGCCTCCAGGAGCCCACGGGGTTTTCTTTGTGAAGACAAACATCTGTTGCAAACCCTACTGGCACAAAAGCCAAGCCAACAACTTCTAGAAGAAGAAATTATCCACCCCAAACCAGGACAAGACCGCTACCTGTAAAGAATTGTTTCTAATTTATCATTGCCCACAAATATAAGCCTGAATGCAGCATTTTCATTTGGTTTACTTTCATGCCTAGGCAGAAACAGATGTAGGTGGGCTGAGATGGGAAGTTGAATGTGTGGGAATAGGAAAGAGGGGGCTGTAGATAGGAATTCCTTATGTATCTGTATAATATTCCTTATATATGTGTATAAACTCAGGCTGCTACTGAGTACCAGTGCATATTTCCCCTATCTGTCAAAGACACTAATAACTTGCCAAACAACATACTAATCTTTCCACGTAACTTGTTATGGCTCAAAGTGCCATCTATTATGAAACCTTCAACAAATATCAAGTTTTCATTAATACCTCCAAAATCTGTATCACAGTATTTTCATTAAAAGATAAACCATTACCTCAATTCCTCAATTTACAACTAGCTTTGCTGCAAATCTGAAATGACTTCTATCTGCAGTATGAAAATCCTCACGGAAAAAGTGACAAAAGCAGATGGCAATTCAGTGCCCTCTCATTTTTTCAAAACACTTACAACCAGTACAAACTCAGGATTTATTTATACTTTTCTTGCTAACTTCTAGTTGGGCAAAGATGATTTTGTAGTCATTTTTTTGGAAACAAGGAAGCTGCACAATAGATTTACGAAGTTTCTTTTTCTTTTTTAACTTGGTTTTCTTTCTGTCAAACATGAAGGAAGGACCTTGATTTTCCAAAAGAAACCTTCAGTGAACACAAACAGCAAGATTCTTTCCTCCTACTCTTTGATTCAGTCATTACATATTAGAATAATTGCAATTTACTGCCAGGAAAGTGTATATATATATGAAATATATCTAAATATGTAAAACCACATACCTAAGTTATTAGTAAAATCTGGAACGTGAAAATCTTGACACTAGTACTTGAAAAATTTAAGATAGGTAATTAAAAAAAAAAATCCCAGCCTTTGTAAATATTTTGAAATCATCAGATTAGGAACTGGAGTATCTTTGTCATGGAACTGGAATTGACGCTAGCGATGTGTTTCAAAAGTGAAAAATATGAAATTTTTGTATTTCTAACTTTTCACTCGTATTTACTTTAGAGATGGGGGTACTTTAAGAAGAGTAGAGCACTACAGTAAATATAACTTCTAAATACAATGAAGCAATATTCATTTGGGAAGATAAATTGCTTTTAAGGAGACTGACATAATAAGTGATGCTGCTCTATATGCTAAAAAGAAAAGATCTCAGTAGTACCTCTGCACCGAAACGCTCTCTGATGCCAACACGCACCAGTAATTTTGACATGACGCTTGATCAAGGGACTGGGTGGTGGAGAGGCCCAAAAAAAAAAAAAAGGTATATCAAGAGAACCTACACTTAAATGAGGAGAAGCTTGCAAAAGTCACAAGCCGGTAACTAATCTCACTAAAATAAATTACCATCCATCTGCTAAAAAGTTTTAGTTCATCCCATCACTTAGAGTAAAACATATCCATGGTTTCACTAAAGCACCTTCATTAAGAGCAAAGCTAATTAAACTACCCTGTATTTGCCACGGGCAAAAGGCACACGCATATATAGTTAACACAGAATCTCAAATATGTGATAATTATGTGCATACCTGAGCTCTAAACGTGACTGGTTCAAAAAAAAAAAGAAAAAAGGCAGCTCACAACTTTTTATACTAGTGATTCATCAAATCTGAAGCCACGTAATTATCTGAACTGACCCAACTTTGCTTATATTCCCAAAGTGAGTCTGTCAAGCGACAGAGATTAACAAATGTAGTAAGAAAAAAGGACAAGTAGACTGAAACATAAAATTGATCAGTAGACTTATGAAAGTCTCGAAATATATGTGAGTAATAAAATGATTCTCGCCTCTTAGTTTTGTTCAAAAAAAAAATAAAAATGTATGTGCACTGTTTGTTGGGATAATATGTTTCCCAATAGGGGAACTGCTATAGAAAATATTTTGAACGTGTAGTGGCAACACATCAGACAGAATAAAGTAGTTTTATGTAATTAAAGTATTACCTTTTATTTCTTTGGTAAACTTCACCCTTTGGGAATCTGTCAGAGGTTTCTGTTGTTCTTCAATACTTTTGAAGTCCAAAACTTCACATACAAACTCGATAACTGGCTGTGCTTTGTAAAATGCGGTTGCAGATACTGTAGACAAAAACGTTAATGTTATATTACAACAATACTGAGGAAATTTTTAAGAAGTCCATCAAATGGAACTAAATTTTAGCCTTTCCACTGAAAGACAAAGAAGGAACAAGAAAAAGATTTTTATAGGACCTACCATCAATATTTAACATCATTTTCCATAACGAAGGTCTGACTGATTGATGGAAGCCAAACCAAACTTCTCTGCCACCACCCAATGGATTTGAGCACCCTTCTGATGCTGTAAAAAAAGATCGCCCCACAGGAGTATATCTGTAATAAAGAAAATAAATTCAGATCGTAAAATTAAAGCAAGAAAAAAAAAATTGCAATAAAGCCATAACTAATGCAAATTCCTATTTACAAAAGCATAGAAGTGTCAGTGTTTCAAATTACCAATAATCTGAGCTTCCTGTCAGGACTAAGGTTACACCTCAAAATCCAGTTAGTTACAGTAAGAAATTGGCTACTACTCGTGTTTGTTTGAATTTATTTTCAGTATACTCCTTAATATACCTACTAATTAAACCAAAAAGCATTAATAACTTTTTTTGTACTCTATTAAAAATTCAGCTACGCTTCAGTCAGAAAATAATTGAACGTCTCTGCTATTAAAACAACAATGTCATAATCTCTCCCCTTCATTGTGCCTAGCCTCCTCTGAAATCCACGGAAACTCTGCGTGGGTGAACAACTGATCTAACAAATATTTTTGATGCATTTTTCATCTTGGTAATTCTGTACTGCACACTTAATATCAAACTAATCAAAACCAGCACCAATATGTTTCTCTGAACAAAGATGTGTGACTAAGGGGTCTGGATTGTTTTCTGTGTTGCAAAACCTGACTAATGTGATCTTTAATTTTTTTTATCCTTAATGTGAGGATAAAATCAACATGGTATAAAATGGATAAAATCAACATGCTTAAAAGATACTTACATAAATGTAACTCATTCTCCCCGTTTAGCCCTTCAAAATGTGAAAGTTCAGCCCTACTAAGCTTTGTTCTTTACTTTCTAATTGAATGTAATTTGAACAGTGGTCTTAAGCGACTTGTTTCATGGCAGCAGAATTAAACCCAGTATCTTTTGGGTTTGACTGCAAACACTGTAGATCCCACTCGCTTGGCAAAAAAACCCAAAACAAACAACCCCAAATAATTTTCAAGTTTTTCTTTTCTATGAAAATAGCTATACTGGGTTGACATTAATGTTCTGCTAGCACAGTACCCTTTACAGAAAATTGGCAATAAACATCTGCCCGAAGACACACAGGAACAGGGTAACAAGTTTTAAAACTACCCTCATATGTCTACCAACCTTCAACTACTTTCCACGCAGGGAGGGCTTCCTTCTCTGAGGCCTACAGAGAAATGGGATATGAGCGAGATGGCAGGGCACCCCTGACCTGAGAGCACACAAACACGGAGCAAGTCTGAAGACCAGTGGGGAAAGGGACTTGTGTCCAGGCTGGAGGCTACTAATTCCACCAGACGAGCAGAAAAGCGCTGTATTGCCTCTTGCCTGAGTATGCCATCTGCTATTATTTTGGTTGAGCTATGAAAGCACATCCTACCCAAAAAGCCACTGAAGCGATAACAGTAACAATGCAACCTCCTAAACAACGTCAAGGTCTTCCCCTCACCTCATGGAAGGCAAGTGCCTCATCACTACATCCAGTGCCTGGATGGTTTCAAACGGGACACTTGGCAGCCGACCAGAAAGAGCATCATGTAAAGCCTGCAAACTCACACAGGACATCCACTTTATAGCCACCTTAAATATTCTGTCCTTTCCTTCTCCTGGCAGCGTGACCTCCAGCTCCACCTGCAACAATGCCAAACAACAAACCAAGATGATTCTTTCCATTTAAAGGGGAAAATGGAAGGGGCTTGGAGGGGACGATGGATTCCTCTGAACAGCGCTATAAAGCATGTAGACAAAAAGCAATGATGAAGAAACAACACACATTAGGTACAGCCTCTTTTCACAGCTAGATCTTTCCAAAGGAGTACTTCAGAAAGCTGGTGTGCTTCCCAACTGGCATCTAGCTCCCTCTTTGAGGCAAAATCATAATTTGGAAGTGCTTGCGTATCCACAGGGAGGTCTCCATGAAGATCCAATAACCTAATTTCAGATCCCTAACACATACTAATGCATCACCACTCACGTCAGCTCCTGCATGCCTAAAAATAAAATACGATCTGTCACTACCTGTCAAGATTCATGAATTTCAAGTATTTGCTCTCTAGAGCACCGGAGTGCTTTATATACTATTACTGTTGATATAGTTCAAACAAGAGAAAATAAAATCCACAAGAAGCTTTCAAAGGGAAAAAAAAAAGAACAAAAACACCACCCACCCCACAAAAAAACCCACACAAAACCCACCAACCCCAAACCCTCTTATTTTCAAATGCCAAATACAGACTGAATGATGGCCCCCAAGTAGTAGTGATGCTATCAGGCAGGAAACAGGGACACTCCTTTGACATGTTATGCCCTACTTTGAATTTTTTTGTCTAAAGAACACTAGCAAACTACATTATGGTATATTAGTTGAGCCTACTACTTGTAAAGCTGATTTCTCCTCTTTAGTAAAAGAAAGAGAGCCTGAGCACAGTTCCTAAACCGACTAAAATTAAGGCTTATCTGGAACAATTAGCAGTTCTGGGAGTGACTACAAGAAATAACAGGATCAGAGTATCCTTTGTGCTGGATATAAACAAAAACATTGCATTTCCCTGTCCTAGGGAGCTTACAATTTAAATATAAAAGGCATCCACTTCACAGACAAACTGTAATTAGTGGGCTAGCAAAAATAATACATGACTAACAGCAAGGTAACATATGCAATCATCTGGTCTTCTGCGACAGTTAGCTTCTTCAGTCAAAAAATAGGAAGGAAAGATAAAACACAAATAATAGGCCTTCCCATACACCAAAAAAATGAGTTGACCATTTATAGTAGGCAGTCAAAATTAATATTACAGCCGCATCTCTCCTCTAGTACAAACATCATTCACCAGGAGAGTCAAGCAGAGGAAGGAGCCGTATGGCCGTGGGAGACCAATGGGAACTGGAGTCTGTAATTGCAGGGTCACCGCTCTGAATCTAGCCCAGAAGGTGAATTCTGCTGAAAAGCTGTGCAAATAAAGGTACATGGTTTCACTGACACAGGTTGGAAGCTTTCTATGAAGACTTTTTTTTTTTCCCCATGAAGGCTTTTTTCTTTTATGAAGAATGGGACTACTTGTGTTGCAGTATTCATGTCCCTGGTAGAAATAAAAACCCCACGATTGAAGCATTTCTGTTCCAATTGCTAGATTGCAAAAAAACTATTACATTTAGCATAGCTGTGATGGTGAATTCACACTGCTGAATTTGGCCCAAAAAGCTTTTGCTGCTGGGTCTAACCTCACTTCAAAACAATTGAATTAGAGTCACTGGTCAGATAAATAAAGTTTAAATCCAACTTTTCAGGTATTCTTCCTCTAATATCTCACCCGAATTACATGCTACTGAAGAGTCTGTTTTTTTAAAAAAATAAAATCATAAAAATACATTAGGACCAACAAATGTGTCCTTAATCCACATCCTCAAGATCACATATACTTTTAGGCACTGCAAATCAGAATTCAAAATATTTCAGTAGTATTTTTATTTATCCCAGTCTATATTTTTAAGGGCAAATGAACACAGTCATGTTTGACAGAGTAAGCGAAATGTGAAAAATTTCAAGACAAAGTTACTTTAAATGGGAGTTTTACCACGTACTTTACTACTAGGAATAACCCCTAAAGCCAAATTTAGTGTTTTATTTCCTACAGTTTCACCAGGTGTAATCTATCCCCAAATAAAAAATTTACAATCCCAGTCACTAACCTACTACCTGCTAGACCCATAGCTAAATTGCAACACAGCTGACATAATTTTGCAGCTAAAGGAACTACATAAAAGGCATGTTACTGTAGGGCTGTGAAAAATCATTAAGCCTGTGGAAAAATTTGAAAGCTCTTCTTAAAAACAATGAGTCTTGTAACTGATGTAGCCTGACTGATTCACACAAATCAGCACATCACTGTTTAAAAAGAATAAAAATTAAACCTGACCGTGTGTTTCTGGGGAATTCTTAGTACTACTTCATCTCTATAAAATATATGCATCACTACCTGATTGTTTTATCATGTTTGAGCATACAACATTCCTCTAATATTCTAAGAGCTTTTTCTTCCCAGGGATTCAGAGGAAAACAGATGCACACTTTCCAGTTGAATATTTGGGTGCCTACCTCCCATGGACTTGTTTGGAAATCTCAAGCTATGGACATAAAGAGATCTGCTTCTATCACGTACAGAGTCATTAGCAGTACTTCAAATAAAGCCAAGAGAAGTAAGGTTGTGGCCATACACAGGATTAACACTTTCCTTCTGAAAAAGGGAACAGCAGTAGGATTTCTGTATCAAACTGCAGCTTGGTTCACTCGTACTTACTGTTTTTATAATTAAAGACTGCTTAAGGTATATGTTAAGTTACATCAGTTGTTCTCAAATCTTGCAAGGTAAGAAAACTTTCCAGTTCAGTTAAAATTTTACTCTAGCTTTTAACTGTAAAAGAACATTTTAGGGAAATACACAAGTAACACAGCAGCTGAGTACAAAGCCACAGGTAGAGGTGACCTGGGCTTGCTGTTAGAACCTACAAGGAAAGAGGAGACTATTAATATCTTTATACCTTGACAGTGTCCTATACACTTGTTTTTACTTGTACACATTGAGAAGAAAGTACAAAAACATTCTGTTTATATTTACATATTCCATATCTGTTCTGAAAGGTCTGAAGAAATGAAGGAATTAAAGAATGAAAATAAGGAAGGAAGGAATAAGGAATGAAGGAAGGAATGAAACTAGGTATAACAACCATGAAGGTCAAGCAGAAAAGATTAAGAGTATTTATACAATAGAAAAAAGTTACAAAAGAAAAGCAGGGTTGTCAGCAAGGACCAAAAACAAAAAACAAACCCAACCAACCCTAGAACAACCACCAGTGACATGAGATGAGGACAGAGTGTATTAATTAAGTTAAAGAGCAACAGGAGGGAAAAAAAACACCAAAACCCAAAACGTAGGCAATTTGGTGTCAGCCTTCTGCTTAGCATCAGTTCTTCCGCTACCGATGCGCACTGCAAGTAAATCAAGGTCTTCTTCCACTTAGATTAAGGATCATCTATTAATCATTGTATGCTGATGAATCTTTTCAATATGATCCTAAATGTAATCAGATGTGCAGTAAACTTGCCACATTTCTTATGTACCAAACAGCCAAAAAACCCCAAAGAAAAAAAAAACCCAAAGAAACCTAATCTAATTATGCTAGAGGAAAGGCCTAATACCTACAAGCTTTATACTGGTTTAAACCATGCTTAAACCAATTTAGCACCACATAACAATTTCCCTCATTAAGCTAAATTTCCCACGTCCGATTTAAACCAGCTGAAGATTTATCTCTATTAGCTCTTTCCTCCAGGGTAATAACATTAATATATGTATGGCAGAAAAACCGACAGTCCTGTATCCCATGGGAAATAGGGAAAAGATAGGAGTTTCTTAAAAGCAAGCCTAAATGTGAGCCACAGATGAAACTATCTGAACCATCTTGTGCTAACCTCCACTAAAAACACCCTCATCAGTGATGGCCTTTTGCAAATGATCATCGCTCCGGCTAGGTAACTCCATCCCACCCAAAATGGTTGACAAAAATCATGATGTAGGTTACAATGTTCATTTGCACGGCCATGAAGGAATCAGGGCATCAAAAGCGTTTCCTGCTGGCACACTATCACCAGACTTCATATTTACCATGTATGATTTAGTATATGTGGGCTTTAAAATCCAAAGCATGAAGAATCGAGTCCTGTTTGGTCAGCAGGCGTTCAGACACAGAACAGAAGGAGGAGGTCATCTCATTCAGTTCCCATTGAGTAGAGTCAATTTGCATCTCACAACATCTTATTAGATCTGAGGTTTAATTTGATCCCAATTTGTTTATCCTCCATAGATAAACCATTCCTCATTTACCTTTACTTAGTAAACGCAGAACTTCATACTCATCATAAAATATACTGTCAGCCATCCACAAACTTGGAAAGTATTACAGTTACACGGTAACTCTGCGTGCATCCAGAGGACTTGTTTAAAGCCCTCAGAGACACTCATCAATTATGATTCCACCTTTAGCAAACACTTTGCCATCTTGCATGTCAAATCTGTAGGAACTGGAATACTATATGTGAAAGTGGAAAACAAAAATTATCTCTAATACTGTTACATGATTCCTTTATAGTTTTTTCTAGACATTAGCATATCAGTTCATGAAAAAATAATTAGGACTAGAGTAGAGACCGACCTTTACAGCATGACATTCAAATAAATACATTTGGGGGAAATAAAAATTACACATATGAGATTAAGAGCTTGATTCAGGTAGAACTATTAACTATATCAAGCACCACACAGGCATACAAAATGAGACAGTGAAGGACAGCAAGAACTATTTTGTGGCACACTGCTACTGAATTTACGAAGACCTCAGCTCTGTTCTCGGTTTTATCACATAGGCAAGTTTCCACATTTCTCTGTATTGCCCTTTCTAGTTAGGTTGTAATCAACTTCTATGGGATTGGACAGTCTTCCCCTATCACAGTGCATGCCCCACCTTGCACCCACAGCAGAAGGCCACTTTACCCATCTATGGCCTCTGGGAACTACCGTAGCGTTAAGTGAGTAATGAGAATGACTGTATCCTCAAGTGTTCATCATCTAAATTAAAAAGGCCACAGAAAATTCAATCTGATATTAGACCACAGAAGCGTAGGCTAAATTATTTTATAAGGTTTGCGTGGCAGCATGTTCCAACACAGTCCCTTCTGCTTCACCAGTCGTCAATGGGCACAGACGTGGGTGCGCTTTGCAGCTACAACCACAGTGACCGAAGAGGTCACCGCCCCACGTACAGAGCTGGCAAACAGAACATGCGAGTCCTCTTCAACTGCCCCAGGGCTAAGCTAGCAGGTCTTAACTTGCACAGTTTAAATTAATTTGGCTCTCACGCCGTAAGGGATTAGAGAAGAGGTTCCATACCAAAAACAGAGGGATGGAGGAGTTTCTTCCCGCTAGTGGATAGTGTGAATCAGCTTACGGTGGGCTTTGATGAGATTAACGAGCTGACACAACAGCTTGCTGCTGCCCAGAGAGTGCTTCTGCTCCCCTCTCCCAAACTCAACTGCGCTTTCACTTTCTGCCTAGTGGCAGTATGGAGCTTGTCCGCTCTCTTGGGCAGTTGATCCAGCTCACCAAACCAGCAGAAACCACGCCAGTCGGGGGAAGAGAGAGAGAGGGAGGAAAGAAACGATATGGAAAGGGGAGCAACCATTTTGATAGCAACAAGCTCACAGTTCTGTCCAGGCAAACCACACCCTGAGCAAAGTGGCAGCAGGAAGAGACATCTATTCCAGAAATGTAGAATCATTTCCCACCAATTATTAGAAGGGCTCTGCAAAGACTGCATTAAAATCTCCAATTCAAAACTTTTCGATTTAAAACTTACTTTATCTCTCCCAATGGGAAGCGGCATAGCTGTGTAAAGGTTTTTTCTTCCATCAAACACTGGTTTGCGATCCCCAAAAATCTGGGTTTTAAAGTGCTGAACCATATGCTCCACTATTTCTCTGAAAATATAAAAAGATTACATTAATTCAACTTTTTACTTTTGATTTTAAGTAGCAAATGAATGCTAACACTACTATTTGTGAACAGAGGCATTAGGTAAATGACAGGGTTGTCAACTTCTGGGTATTAAAGGCAAGATTTGACTGATCTGAATTAAAGCAACCTTTTCACAGACTTAACTGTTTTCTTAAAGAAGCTATTTTTAGCTTTTTCAGATTTAAACTTTCCTTCCTCTTTTCTGTGATCTACTGAAAGTGGTAAAGCGAAAGCTTGTGCTCTCTCAAGCTCAAAATGAGAGGTGCTTGCTATTCTCCTGGGGCTTCTGCTCCCCTGTCCTACAGCCCTTTCTGCAGAGGACCACAGACCAAAAGCTCAGCAGACTTAGAAGCTTTAAAAAAAAAAAAAATACTATCCAAGCTTACAACTTTAGTGTAGGGACAATAGTTCTGTGACGACAGTGATATGCAAACTTTTTGCACAGCACTGAGAAAGATGACTTTCAAATGTAATTTTTTCATGTACGCAACAAAACTGGGATCCATCCAAGAAGACAGGATTAGCGCATTCACTGGGAGCTGCGCATACTAAAAAATACATATTAATTTAAGCACAGCTGGAATTAGGTTGCATGTTTGTATGAATGAGGTAACCACTCACAAAGTTCTTGTCAAACCACAATGTTTACACACTGGTCATGCAAAGCAGATCACCAGCTGATGAGAGGTCTGTTGGAATAATAACACCCTTTGATGCCAAATGTCTTTGGTGTCCCAGTGTCCCAAAGAGATGCCCTTCAGGCTATCTGTATCACAAGGCTGTAAAATCTGAAATCCCTCAGCAGTCTGCAATACGCTGCCCTCAAGATCCTTAATGTACAGCTTGGGGCCAAGGGGCATTAAGAAGTTAAACTGACACAGAAAGGAAACCACTGTTTCTTCAGTATTGTTGTCAACTAGCAGCTCAGAGATGCTGCAGACGACTATTTCACACACCTTGACTTGGCAGGACAACTAACCCAGCATACAGTTAGATATTAAAGCTCAAAAAACTGAGATGAAACTCTGAATTCACTCAAGAGAAGAATGAAGACTGGTTTAATTGACAATTTCTTTGCTGTGTGCCAAGGCTTTAAGACTAGACGTGACCATTGAAAGAAACTTCCCTGACCTGAGAAGTATGAATAAAACTTGACCCAGTAATTTCTGCCTCAGGTCTGCAATGTCTGACTGAACAAGTACATAATTTGGAGGGTGGGAGGAAGGAGGTATTTTTTCAACCTTGAGTTAAAGACTGAGCAATGGAAAACCCATTCTTTTACTGAGCAAGTCCTTCCGATTGTGAACTACTTTATATAAGTGAACACTTGCACTTAATTAAGGTTTTCAAGCTTCAAACCACATTTAGCAATGGTGCTTTTCAGCTGTGGGTGGAGACAATGAAAAGTAAGTTATTTTCTCCATATGAAGTTAAAAGAAGAGTTATTTACCAATTCACTAACATGAGCCCTTTGCGGCTACTATTCTACCAAGATCATGCAAGGACAGTGACTACGAGCAGAGTTCATCTTGAACCTTGTACGCGTCCTAGCTGTTCACATGCATAAATGGAGTGCATCCACGGTGCATAACCAACCTCACAATGCCCACTCTCCCTATCTAACTATACAAATAGATGTGGGATTTCTGCAACACATGAAGAATTGTAGCCAGGCTGTATTGATTTGGCACAGTAGCATATTGTCTCAGCTTTGTGTTTTCCAGTCCTGCTCCAGCTCACGTCTCATCAGCGTGGAACTTGCATGGACACTGTACACATCCCTGCAGTGGGTCTGCAGGGTCATAGTCCAAGCCACAGTAAGTCCTAGAATAAAACTGAAGAATGAAGCTGGGACAGATGAGGGAGCAGCATAAATGAAAATAAAATCTCCCTCTGTCCTTTCTAGAGGCTGCAACATATAAAGTAATGATAAAAACTATTTACTATAAATATACATGTTTCTAGTATTTTTGGTTATGTAATTCAGATGTAAGCCAGCTGAAAAAACTGTAATTTAGAATTAGACTACATCCTGCATAATCCTATATACATTATAAAGAAGCGCACACAAAAATATAGGTATACATGTAGGACTGAAAGGTCACAGCTCACAAAAACCCAGACGCAGGTGAGTGTACATACATCCATAGTGCAACTCCTGTAGGAATAAGCACTTAAAAGAAATAAAACAGACACTTCATTAAATGAATCCAATTTGTATTCTTCCCACACTGCACTGAGAAACATGCACCATACCACTGTCAGATGCATTTATAACATCTTTGTTTACTGCAAAAGGCATTTAATCTATGTAGATTTATACTTGCTCCTGTTACCACAACAGAGAGAGTGACTAACCTGACAAAGCAGAGCAGGTCAGAAGCTGCCAGTGGAGAAAGAACTTGCTACTGAACATAATCTGCCTTTCCAATGAGAAAATTTGCTTTATTATTTAGTAATTATGCTCTCTGCCATTGATGAGCAACCGTCCTCACACTGGACCACCACACAGAGCTACAACACACACACACACACACACACACACACACACACACACACACACACGAGCTGCGCGGCGCTCAGCTCCCCCAGGAGCTACAGAGAGAGGCATGGCAATGTGCATCAGCCAGCGGCGTGCCAGCTGGTAGGGCTGGAGCTGGTAGCAGGGATATCCGTTAATGAAAGTAAATCTCTCATGGCTCCCACTATGAAAAAAGCGACCGCTGAAAATTTTTTGCAGCATTTCCATGCACTAAGAGTATTTCAGTGAAATCAGCAGGGATGCCCTTGGACAAGAAGAGAGTTCAGCTTAATACACTTACAACAGTGTTTGCTTTTAAAATTAAATTCAATTCTTGACTAGCTTAAAAATCAAATTTATAGTACATCACCACAGAAAAAAAAACAGGACAGCAAAGCATAGCAATGTTGCTTTATGAAAACGCTATCATTACTGACTCTTTAGTATAACAATGGATAATGCACTCTGGTTTATTAATTCTCGTTAAGAAAACTTTGGCTTTCGGGTGGATTTTTTGACTCCACGCTTTGTTCATGACTGCATATTATTCCACCCATGTGACCTTTTTAATAAGGAAAAGTTTTGCTCTTGAATATATAAACACGCAATTCCGAACCTCTACAGTCAAGATGTAGGTAGTTACGATGAAGACACTTGTGGTTTCCAATTAGTGCCAAGTCTTGTTCTCAAGTTTCACTTCTGGCAACACCACTCTTTTTCAAGTCAATGAGGTTGCCACACTGTGACTAATAGGGCACATATGCAAAATGCAAGACCTAATTGCTTGTTTCCTTGGCCAAATGAGCCATGTTTTCACCTTGCTATCTGTTTCAGGAGCATATCTTTCCCTTATATAGAATCTTCTGATGAAGGAACATTTCTTACCTAATTTAGTCCCTACACAATCCTCTCGCAGCAGCGCAAACAAATGGATTTTGCCCCGCCTTGGCAGTAGAGGAAGGTGGGAAAACAAGCTGGTAACACTAACTCCCTGCTGAAGGACTTGTCAGCCAATTGCACTTCTATATTTAACGAAGCAATACTAAGAATAATATTTATCAAGTTGGCTTACACTGACCTAGCTCCACTAGGGTTAATACAGTTTATCCATCTGTCACCAGTGGCTTTGATCAGCAGCATCTTAAGACACTGACAAGTTCAATCAAAACAAGGGACAATTAGCACAGCAATCTTGGATTGGTACAAAAAGACTTGGTGAAAAAAAATCCCTGTTGATGGATATGCAACGTTGGAAGCTATCAGCACAAAGACAGACACATCCTCCAAGCTGTCAATGAAGACTGGCACATGGATCCAGCAATTTCAAAGGAAAACAAGAATGTAAATAAACTGCGGAAAAACAAAGCACAGTATTACCTGTTAACTCTTCTAGGGCATTTTTCTGGCTTTATATCCAATTCGTAATGGTAGATATCTATTTTAGGAATGTCCATCTCAAAGAAGTTGGCCTGCAGTTTGATTGTTCTCCCAGAAGTCCCAAAATCTGGTCGAGGAGGGGGTTTAAAGGCATATCCCTGTATTGGTGGTGGCAATGGTGGAGGAGGTGCAAGCACTGAAAAAACAAAAAGCACAAGTCAGCTATATCAAACTGACAGTTAAACAAACTTACAGGCTATTTGACCAAGGCAGCACAACACATTTAAACTAGTATCTTCTTTAAGCAACCTAAAATCTGAAAAAAAAAAAACCCCTGCTATCCAGAATCCCTGAATTCTAACACTCTTCATCCCGTGGTGGTTCATCATTTGCTGTATTTCCTAGCCCTTATTAATGAACAAAATCTTAAAATTAGTTGCATTTTCCTATGCTGCATGTCAGCTGGGTGGGAATTTGAGAGGCCAAGCAGGCGTTGCTGAGAACGCGTGAACTAGAACTTCATGGCAGGGAAGAACATCTGTTTAAAACAGACACTGAAGCAAATCACGTAACCACATTCATTTGAGCAAACACCTATAAAACGGAGCTTCTATCACTTAAACCACCTTTGCGATCACATTTGGATGAGTTGCCTCCATCTAAAGCAAATATAACGGGTGCATTTCAACTACGTACATTTTGCTCTAATGACCACACCGCACAGCCTGCCAAAGAGGGCAATACAGCACAGGAGCTGTTCCTACACGTTGCAGCGCTCTGGCAAACACCGTGTATTAGAATTAAACTATATGCTACTGCTTCCTTTAAACAGAAAGCAAACAGAGCAAATAGTCTACTGCTCCTGTACTGTACTCTTGAGCTTATACGCCAGCTGTAGATCAGACAACTTGTGGTTGTTTCAATCTACAAAAATCCATTGAAAGTCCATGGAGAAGCGCGTAAGGGACCAACTTGAGTGTTCAAAACTCCTGCAGCATCAGTACTCAGGTTTTCCGTGGTCTAGAGCAATCACAAACTGCAGCAAAACCTTCACATGTGAAATAACCCAGGAGGCTCCTCATTACTTACGTAAGAAACCAGGTGTGGTTTCCTGGGATTATCAAATTCAGTCCTCTGCTAGCACCAGAAACAATACACATCCCTTCATTAATGCATCAGTCACCACTTTCCCACCCTCACGTTCCCTACTGGAAAGCTGTTTCAGAACTGTGATGCTCTAGTGCTCAGAAACACCCATCCACTTTTATTTATGCATTATCAGGTTATATTCAGCGACCTTTAGATTAAGTACTCCTTACTGTATTTTTAGATTGAAACCAAATTGCCATTTGATTCTTAATTCTAGGCTATACTACTATTATTCATCTCTTCTCATAAACCAGACTTCATTCTCATCCTTCCCGTCATTTTTCAAGCTAATGGACTTTCAGCTCACCTTCCCTGAACAAGACCAAGTGTTACTCTACACAAGATCCCATCAGGGTCCGACTCAACCGCAGTGATGCTTTTATCTCTCAATCCGAAACGTTGGGTTAATGGGCCCTAAACTGCATTTGTCTGTTGTACCACTGCCTTATAATGGCAGCTCTTGGCCATCCAGTAACCAGTCAGTACACGCATGCCTCCCTACTCTAGTATTCATTTCACTACTAACTCCCAGCTACATGATCTTTAATGTTTTTTTTTAAATCCCTATTTATTACCCTACTGCCTTCTGCATGATTCTCAGGTACTCCTTTTCTGACAATGGCCCCTATGTGCCATGATGAAGTTTCATGTACTTATTCCCGATATTTATGCACAAGATCTTCAATGAAATAATAAACAAGACCATTCCAGACTTAGTAGCACCATTTCCCCACTTTACCCTTCAACACTCCCCATGGCCAGTTTCACCTTACTTATTTTCACAGTTCTACTAATCTGACTTCAAGCATTTTCTGCATGTATCAGATATTTCATCAGAATCCAGACAGTTTGGTTTGACATTGGGAGTATGATAGGGTTTTATGTTGGTTAATTATATTTAACTTTTTTTTTTTTTAAGAAAAAAATTCTTTTTTTTTCTAATTTGGTTTATGTTTGGGAAGCTTGTTTCAGGTCTTGTCTTTCAAATATATTGAGCTATACACCTTTTTGATGTCACGGTACACAAGTTCAATTTGCTTTCCTTCCTCCCTTTCATAAACATCACCGTTAAAATTTGTGATTCTCCAGCACTAACTTGATCAATTTGTTAAAGATGCTTGTTCCTAAACACTTGTGTTTTCATGACCTATAAACCTTCAGGTTTCTGTGATTAAAAAAAAAAATTAATCTGTCTCCCTAATTTAAATATACTGACTCCTTCAGTTTTGCTTTCAAAGGAAATATAGCAATTCTCATTTGAATATTTTTCTTACTATTTATCCATCTTGCCTGTGCAGTGTTAACACCTGTACTGAGAAATGAAGCGAAGTATCTTCTTAATTTTCACACAATAGCTCTAGACTCTTTTATCTAAAGTCAGTCCTCACCACAAGCAGCCCATCTGCCTCTGCATCTGACCTTTCCTATTTACATCCCTGAAGGGGAGTCGAAATACTTCGCTGACTCTAATTCTGTTCAAGTTTTGTCCATTTTTAAATTAAAAAAAAAAAAAATTCCTGCACATCTCAATTCTAAGACATGGATTTGTCATCTTTTCCCAATGCTCACAGGAACTCCGCTTACTTCAAATATTTTTCTCGAGGGGATTAACTTCCTGGTGGCCCCCACAGCCACCATCTCCCCTTGCTCGGTGAGACAAATTCACAAAGTTTCTGTGTCATTAATTGGAAAGAGCCCTCTGTTGTGGATATTAACAAATATGTTGTGGAACTTAACAAAGTTATTCATGGTATTATCACTACAGCTGGAAAGTAACAAAAAAAATAATCCCACAAATATTAATACTTGCAATATGACAAAGTTTTCTATTATTCACCTCCAAATCAGATCACGAAGAGCAGCATCTACCTCTATTCCAGCAGAATCTCACTCACCATCTTTTCCTAAAGAAACCTGGCTCCCACCTATGATTTCAGCCATTCCGTTGCTTAATGTTTTACAGCTCATCACTGCATTAAAGTACTTATTTTTATTTCCATCTTTTGTAACAGAACGTTCCCATTTGAAAACCACGTCCTAGTCATTAATGTTATTCTATGGGGGTTTTTTTTGCATTGTTCCATATGATTCCCATAGCACCAGCCACTCAAAAATACTTCTATCTTCTGCCCAGCCTCCTGGCATTTGGGTTTGAACATTTCAATTTCTTGTTATCCGCACTCTGTATTATAGCTGCATTACGTGTTACTTAACCACTATTACCTGGTCAACTCTTACCTCAAGCATTTTCCTTCTCTGTCCCGTCTACTTTTACGCTTGCTAACATTCCTCTATCTACTACCACATCCTAATTCCCCTGCCCTTCCTTTTTCTGTGCCAGATTTGGTACCTGACCACTAATTTTCAGAAATACGAGAACAAAAAAAGCTTACAAGATTTGGAAGTACAAAGACTAGCACCATGGAGGGGGAACCCCCCACAAGCTATTTGTGCTGCAAAAATAAGTAATTTGGTAATTAAGTAACACATCCTCCTCCTGCTGTATTAAAATGGGATCCTTTACGACTTCTCACAGGGGCGTAATGAAGATGTATATACAAGTATTCACAATCACATGTGGCTCAACAACATCTTTACATTCTTCCACTGGAAGTTTAGTGACAAACAGTAAATAAAAGTGAGGGAATATATTCAGTTTTGAGAATAAACACTGGGAGAACAATGTGATCGCAGTTTTACAACCTGCATATCTCATGGAGAAAAAACAAACCAAAACCAAGCTGTTCAGAAAGCAGGACTACTGGCACCCTGTATTTTCATTTTAACCATTTTCTTCAATTATTTTTTTTTTTTTAACGATTCAATAAAAAAATTTAAAAAAGGAAGCTATTTCTGGCTCTACTCCCCAGGCAAACTTATTTAGGGCAGGGTGTTGCTTCAAGGAGATAAGTATTGTTTATCAAACAGCAGCATTGACCCGATAAGCAGTCAACCTATATTTTTGCCCCATAAAGCAGAGACGTATGCATTAGCTATAGGACTGAGGGATATGAATTGAACTTCAAGGGAAAAAACTAAGTATTACAACTGCTGATCTGAAGTCACTTTTTGGATTATTGCCTCAAATTAAGACTGCAAAATCAAACTATCTTGTCTAAAATGTATTACGGCAACCAGCTGTGAAGTGTAGTCACTAAATACTGAATTTGGTGCTGATAGGAGAGGCTGGAGCCTTATTACTGTTTTCGATCAAAGAAAAAACCACGAGCCTCAATTGTAAAACACAATTGCTACATTCAAAGTGATTTAGCTGCCCCAACTCCTTGTTCAAGCACTCCGGCATAATTCCCATCACTCACTCACTTTTAAATGTGACAGAAGCCGTACCAATACGAGAACGCTTTTCTTAGCGCAAAGGTTGCTACTGCAGAGGTTTTGCAGCGCGATGAGGTGTATTACACAGGACACCGGAGCTTGAGGTGACGCCCTACCCAAGGAAGCCTGCCAAAATTCATACCTCGATGCATTACTTGCTCCGTTCCTGTTTTTCAGAGACCCCTCCACTAACGAAAATGATGCTTTCGGAAAGACGCTATTTCAAAGCACTGGAAAAATCTACATGCATACCTGGATTTTACTTTTAAAGTGCTGTCAAAGGAGGAATGAATTAGAAGATGAAAGACTAATAAAACTGGAGCATCCATGTGATAAGTATCAGAAGCTTCTCACTCATTTGCTAGATGGTAATATGAATAATGAGAACATTTCAGCCTTGATATGATGATTGAGACCATCAAGAGCCCCATTTTAAAAGGTGTGAAATAAGGTAAGTTGGGTATTGAATAATGAGGTGCCAGTGTACTGTCTTTAGGCTTATTTTTATCATGAAAAACCAGATATCCTATTATAATTCATCCAATTTACATAGGCCAAATGTTCATAGTTATCAATCTTAAGAACTGCAATTTATAAAATAATAAAACCCGAAATCTGGAAGGAGACAGATATGAGAAAAATAACCTTCTTGTGGCAGTTTTCTGAAATAAAATTATATGTAAAGCAATATTACTCTGTCAAAAGAGAGCAG